AATCATATGTTTTATTATCCTTGCTTGATTTATTTTTGTCTTTCCTAAAAATAAACTTAAGGTGTCAGTTATAGAGGTTTAGTACATACATGAGTACTATAGAAAGCCATTTGGCTTTAAACACAGGCGCCACCTTGTGGATATAAAAATCCTTAGTGTAATGAAACAAACCCTGAATTGATGGCAATTTCTCATAGCTAGATCTTAGGGTTCATATTCTGTCTATAAGAAGTCTTTTGAAGAGCTTTATGTAAAGGTTTTTATGTGTCTTGAATAGCTAATCATTTAAAAATTATTTATACTGTTGTATTCAATTTATTTGATGGTTTATAGGTTCAAAATTGTGATAATTTGCCATTGTGCCATACTGTACTAAGAAAACATCCCAAAGAAACAAACTATAAAGGAGAGGGAAAATGTGCTCATTTGTTTTTATTAGTAGTATCAGGCCACCTCTAATTTGCAGTTGTGTAAATGCTTGCAAAAGTACTTATGTCCCTGTATGCACATTTGTACGTTTCGTAAAGCCCTTAGTTGCCTGGCTTCAGTGTGTTCAACTTCTTCAAGTTACTCTAGCCACAAACCCAGAAGTAAGCAATTTAAAAGTTTCCTAAAGCAAGAAATGAGGAAGATAGCTCTGAAGAAATGAGATACATTTCCTGAAGATGCCAACTTATGTATCCATCAGGCAGAAAATAAAGGTCACACTGAGACTTCCCATGACTATTGAAGATAATCCCTACCAGCAGCTAATCCAAAAAGCACTATAAAAGTGGGAGACAAAATAAAGAGAAGAAAAAAAAACAACACAATAGGATAGAATTGAGAGGGTGGGCACTTGGTGATGTGGGAGGAGGAGCTGAAGAAGGTTTGGTGGGGACACCATGGGGTCTGTGTGCCACATGAGTTCTAACCTTGTCCTCCCAGAGCCCAGCCAGGTGATGGAGACTGCTCATCTTATCATGCCCTGTGCAGAATGCCGCCTGAGGCCCCACACCCCTCTTCTATTTGTTTCTGACCCCATGACTGAGTATTCAAGAATGCCTCCTTCCTGCAGGGCACTTGGATCATGCTGTGACTGAATTCTGATGTAATACCTCTTACTGGTATCTTTAGAGACCACCAACTTCTACTTCAATTGTGGCTTTTATCTCTATTCCTTTGTCACACCACCCAGTGTCACCCCTGACTACAGCTGCTGGCCAGTTTTTATCCCCAGTTGATCATCAGAATGAGAGCAGAGTCCCAACATTTGGGGGAGGGGTCAACTGTGGACCTTTCCTCAGTTCATATGACCTAGCTTGCCACTAGTTCCATAATGAGATTGTTGCCTCCCCAGCTAGCACTATCCAACTCCCTTCTTTCAAGTTCAGCCCCCGTAGTCTGCCACCTAGAGGTCAGGTGTGAGTGGGTGGCAGAGCGAGTATTCCATACAGTGAACAAGAGACACACATGCCCCACCTACGATTGCATCAAAACCTCTTTGTCTCATCTGCAGAAGCCCCAGCTAGGCCTCCACCCAAGCAGGTGAGTGTCATTGAGAAAAGAGGCGGTGCCTAAGCCAGTTGGGCAGCTTTCATGGTTTCCACCTTCCCCATGGCATTCTGGACCATTTGGCTTTTTGTGTCCTGTATTTCTTGATCTCAATTGCTATTCAGACATTCGCCTTGTCTATTGTTGCTGCCTCCGTCTGAACTAAGCTTCTCTGGTTTGATGAGTGATTGTAAGTGTCAAGCCACTAACATTAGCTCCCACGCCACCACTCTGTGCTCTGAACTCTCAGGGAACACCCTTCCTTCCTGTAGGTGGTCCTCAAGTGACCCTTCCTTTTGTGTGTCCTGCTTGGAGTGCCAGACTAGATGTTGATGGGTAAATGTCTCTAAAAGGCCTACATGTAACCAACATATGCTTTGTAGCATTTAAACATAGCTGCCTTAGTTGTCCTCCATAAATGGGCACGTTTGAGGTCCCTTCCCTCTACAGAAGGCTTTTCTTTGGCCAGTTCTTCTAGGCAGGTGAGAGGCAAATTCACCATACTGTAAATCACGAGGAGAGTGAACCTTTGTATTCACGCTCAAGCACAAATTCTCTGGAAAAACATGTTAGAACAACCAGTCACCAAAGATCAACAAAGCTGAATTGAAAAGACTTTAGTGCGAGTGGGGCTTGCAAATGCTGGTACAGTTTCCATAAGTTAAGACCCAACTTTCCTGGTAGGGTTTTGTTATTATTATAATTTTGTTTTTTCAGATTGTGCTCTTTGAAAGCACTTAAGGATTTTCTGCGCTAACGCATCTTTTAGAAAAACATGTTATATTGAGAGAAGGGGAAAAAACCTGCAGAACAATAAAACAAGAAAGAAAGACACAAACAACCCTGGTATGGGTTTACCATGCGAGGGCTCTGCTGGACGTATTACACGTGCTGTGGAATATTCATCTTGTCGCTCTGTGATGTCTGTCTTTGCGTTTGGCATTACCAGGCATGGGAGGTTATCATGAATGCCAGTCCTGTGAAATAAGCGCATCTGACAGGATTTCAAGGCTAAGACTAACCCTTCTACTCCATCTAGCTCTCATTTTGTGCCTCAGGCCATGCCTCTTATGCAGGAATACGCTACAGCCTTGCTCCTGTGATGGGAGCTGCAGTTATTTTCTGAATGTCAGTCAAAGCCCCTCTCCTTGAGGAGTTGAAGAAATTCAGGTTTCTCCTCCTGACTAGATGGGAAAGGAGCTGTAGAGAATTTTCAGAATAAGAGGAACATAGGTATTTTTGCCACATGTGCTAAACTTTTCACTTCTTTAAGTAGTTCAGAAATGTAATTTACGGTCTTTTTTCCTCTTTCTTTTCATGTTAGATTCATTAATAAAATCAATTCTGAATTTAATCTAGAGATCAATTCATTTATAAATAATTTATTGTAAAGCAAATCCATCAGTGTTAAGTGAAAGCTATGTGTTGGGCATTGTTCTAAGCACCAAGGATACAAAACAGATCAAGTCCCTGTTCTCCTGGATCGTATATCCTCGTGAGCGGAGAAACAGAAAATAATGAAATAGATAAACATGTACTACGTTGAGAGGTGGTAAGTGCTCTGAAGAAGAATAAAGCAAAGTGGGAAGATGGGGCGTGAGGGCGATGGTGAGTGGGGCACTGTTTTACACAGGATGGTCAGAGAAGGCCTCTCAGGTGAGGCGGTGTGTGAGCAGAGGTCTGAAGGATGTGAAGGGAACGAACCACGCTGATATTCCGAGGAAGAGTGACCCAGGCAGAGAAGACAGTTGTACACGCTGGGGCTTTCAGCATATTCAAAGAACCTTTATGTTATAGTGAAGATTTTGGATTTTTTTTTTCAATGAGATAAGAAGTCATTGGAGAGTTTTTGATAAAGGACTGACATCATTTCATCTATGTTTTTAAAGGAGCAATTTGACTGATATTAAATAGTGCATGAGAGGGGGCAGAGGAAAATGCAGTTCAATCGTTTGGAGGCTTTAGAGTAAATCTAGGAAGACAGTGGACTGGAGGATAGTGGTGGTGGGAGTAGCACTGATGGTGATTGGATTGTGGAACTATTTTAAAAATAGAGTCAGTAGGAATGGCTGATGGATGGGATGTGAGATAGGAGGAAAACAAGAGGAATCAAGAATGACTCTAGGGTGTTAGCCTAAATGAGAGTTGCTGTTTGCTGAGATGGTAGGACTGGGATAGGAGCAGGGCTGGGGGTTGGTGGAGATGATCAAGAGTTCAGTTTGGAGCACGTTCACTTTGAGCTGCCCATTAAACATCCAAGTGGTGATACTGCTTAGGCAGTTGGATATAGATAGTTGTAAAGCCATGGATTGCATGAGATCACCCACAGAGTGAGCAGAGAGAGGAAAGAAAGGATCTGGGAGCTGAGTGAGCTCTGGGCATCCCCAAAGCTTACAGGTTAGGAAGGAGATGGAGAGGGTGGTGAGTGACGTAGAAGAAACCAAGAGAGGGAGCCTTGTCCCAGAAGCAAGGGGGGGAAAAAGTCATCCCAGAAGAAGAGCAATTGACTTTTCTAACTGCCACTGGCTCACATAAGATTACTTCTTGAGAAATGGCTATTGGATTTGGAGGTCACTGGTCACCTTGACCAAGAGAATTTTTAGAGGAGCTATAAGAAAACAGAGTAGAGCAAATAGCGGCATTTTATATGGACAAGTTCCCTGAGGAACTTTGTTATGAAGGGGAGCATGGAGGGAGCTATGGAGTCAAGGGCAGGGATTTTTATTCCTTAAGATCAAAGCCATTCTATGGCATATTTGTATGCTGATGGGAATTATCCAGCAGAAGGAAAACAGATAATGATGCAGGAACGAGAGGGGACACCTGCAGGCCGAAGGGGTTGGGATCTAGTGCACGAGTATTAAGAAAAACAAAACGTGCTGCTATAGATATTGTAGGTGGGCTGGTAGAGTTGGTAGTGAGAGCCTTTGGAATATCCTGACGCTAGAGTAAGGAGGAAGCTTAGAGGAGACAGGTGCATATGAGGCAGTAGAATGGAAGAACGAATTGACCACATCAGTGTTTCTCAGGCTTCCGTTTGGGTCAGACCCACCAGGGGGCCTTGTTAAAGCATCAGTTTCTGGGCCTAACCTTGAAAGTTTCTGATTCAGTTAGGTGTGGGGAGGCGCCCAAGAATTTGCAATTTTCACAGGTACCCAGGTGATACTGATGCTACACCCAGAAACTCGACTTTGGGAACCATTGGGCTTAAGAAATAGGAACCGGGTTAAGATGTTGGGAGCAGATCTAACGGCCTCCTTGTGCCTGGCAGTCATGCATGTAAAGTGAATTTAGTCAACATGGTTGTGTATTTTTCTCCAGCGCTATTCAGCTCAAGAGCTGGCAATAAGTTGGACTACACCAGAAAAAAATGAAGAACTGATATCAAGTATATTTGGCAAGTTTTACTTCTCTGTGATGTCTCTGTATTCTGAAGATGCCATTTCTACATCTTTCATTTGAAATAGGATTAGAGAATCTGAGATTGAGAAAGAGAAAAATGAAAGTTTGTGGTTGACGTTTACTGTTGTTGGACTTAGAAGTAAAATGGACTAACCACCTCTGGTCTCAAATTGCAAGGAGAAATGTAAGACCCCTTTCCCTAAAACAGCTGTTAACCATACTGTTACAAAATTCTGAAATATACTTTGAAAAACTAAAATTTGGTTTTTCAAATTTTTTATGAGATTACATTCATCACAAAGTGAATTTTAAGACTGTTGTATTGTTCTTTGCAAATCTTCGTATCCTCCTACAACAATAAATTGTTAGGTGCAGAGAGAGCCTTACACACAGGAAATGATTATTGGAAATAGGAGTTCAGCAGTTAGACTGAGGGTCACAGCCCATTAATGAGAATAAAAAAAGAACTGACTTCCATCATAAGGAACAGTATGATTTCAGATATAGTATGTTAAGCAGCAGTTTAAATATAGCAGTATATTTGCATGTCAAACACATATTAATTCTTAAGTAACTGATAGTTTTCTTTTTATTAAAAAACAAAACAGATTTTGTTGGAGCCAGGCGTGATCCAGGATGTGTTAGCAGCTGGCAGTCACCTACAGCTGTTGGAGCTTCTCAGTTTATGTTCCCACTATCTTATCCAGGTATGTGAGCTTTCATCCTGCTAACGTGCCCCTTCACATTCTTTCCCCTGTCATCATAAGCAGTACCCCCACCAACTGGAGCCCAGTGACAGGTAAAATGGAAGTGGGCGACATGTGGCCTGTGCTGGTAGAATTTCTCCAGAACATGAGCAGAGAGGCTCCTGGGAGGCAGCTGCAGCTCTCTTGCCCTATCTCTGTCCCCCACCCTCCCTGCCTAGGTCCCCACTATCCTTGGGCAGCAAAGGAACTAAACAGCCATGCATAGGGTTCATTGCTGAGGCGGGGAAGATGATGCTGGGTAGGGTCTTGAGTTGAAACAATGGTGTCTCAAGGAACTAACCACAAATTCATGAAAGGCTGGATGTCATTTAAGATTGCAGTAAGAGTAGCTAATATATCACAAAGTCATAGTAATTAATTACCACATGAACTTCCTAGGCAATAAATGCTGGAAAAACGATGAGTGATCTGTGCATTCTTCCTCTGATTTGCTAGGGTTGTCAGGAAAAGCTCTGTGAGGGGAAAGGAAAGAAAACCTACTGTGTGTTCACCGGTGTTTCATGTTCAGCCCTTATAATAACTTTGCATGTTTTGGGGGGTGAAAAATCAGAGATTTCGAAGATGACATATGTAGCTGGTGAGTGGTGGGCCTTTTTGATTCCAGAGATCATTTTTTTCTTCTTGGATGAAACCGTTTGGTCAGTAGGAAGATATGAGACATCTTAGGCAGACAGTGTGGCTGTAAGGCTCTTTTATTTCACGGAGTTAAGTACTAATTCCCTATATTGGGATCCTCCCATTCCTTCCCGTGGTATAAATTTTACTTGCATTTATTACAGCTTTGTAACAACTGTGGGAATAAATTTTTAAAAAATGATAAAGCCACACAGTTTAAGTCTACTATCCTTGTGCTATGAGTAAATAGAAAAAACCCTATTTGTTTTCCTGCCCGGTTACATTATTTCCTTCCTAATCAATTTCTATTGTATAATTCCAAATAGGGCCTTTATTGTTGACTGCCATGACTCATTAGGTAGTTTCCAAAGTGCTTTCTCGTATATTATCTTATTTCATCTTCCCAGGAACCTTGGGAAGTAGGGACCAGTGCTTCCCAGGACACAGTGTGAGGAATGTCAGCCCTGCTCACCTACGGAGCAATTCAAACACAGCATATGGAAGTTTTGTCATTATCTTAGTACATTTAAACTAACAGTAAATGTTTAACTATTTTTATCTTATTTTCTTTTCTTTGCCCCCTCAATAGTGTTGGGTGGTATGAGAGAGCTGTTTTTAATCCCTTTCTGCAAGTAGCAAATACGAGTAACATAGAAAGGTTATAAGATTTCAAAGGTGTGTGTTTGCCTTGTGAAATTGAAATTACTTTTATTTGACATTTCTACATCAAATATTGCAACTTGAGCTTTCAGCATCATCACCTGATTCGCTTTTTCTATGGCAGGTAATTATCAATGCTATCTGTTGACAAAAGTTATAGTGCTACTTACCATGATGCATGTTAAAATATAAAATAGTGTGTATATACAGGTGTGTGTGTGTGTGTGTGTGTGTGTCTGTGTACCTATAATTTTCTATAAATGAGAATTCCAGATGAACATGGGAAGTTCATGTATATTTTCCCCTACCCCATCAGATGAATTTGTTGAGGTATCAAGTGACTTATGAACTGTGGAATTTAATTCGTGCAGTTCATTATTTTGTTGGGGGAAAAGTGTAACTTGCATACAGATATATTTTGTGGACACTTCATTTATTATTAGCCTGTAGAGCAGTGGTTAAAGTTTTCTCTTTCTTTTCACCAGTGTGTTTTCATTTCATTCCGTTGTGTAATTTTACTTTTCCTTTTAATCTGTGATTATTGCAAGATGTCCAATATGTAGAAGGAAACTTTGACTATAAGAGAACCAAAACCATGTGTTTGTAGAAACCTTCATTATGTCAGTCTTTTAAAAATATACCAGATGTGATAAAAAAGTATGGTGAATGTTTAAATAAAAAATAATTATTACAGTAAAAGACATATTGCCATTAATCCCCCTCAAAATACTCCCCCTCACTTTGAACACACTTATCCCATCATTCTTGCCACTTTCTGAATCAGTTCTGGAAGTCCTCTTTCATGAGTGTCTTTAGTTGTGCTGTTGTGTCTGCCTTGATGTCCTGAATCATTTTGACTTTGGGGAAGAGCCGGAAGTTGCACAGTGCCAGATCCGGTGAATAAAGTGGATGAGGACACACTGTAATGTACTTATTTGACAGACATTCCCATACCAGAAGCGATGTGTGACACGGAGCATTGTCATGATGGAGGATGAAGTAAAGACACTCACAAAAGAGGACTTCCAGAACTGCTTCAGAAAGTGGCAAGAATGTTGGGATAAGTGTGTTCGAAGCAAGAGGGAGTATTTTGAGGAGGAATAATGGCAGTGTGTCTTTAATTGTAATGAATTTTTTAATTTAAACATTCACTGTATCTTTTGATCATACCTTGTATATCCTACCTCCTTTTAGGGTTATAAAATTACCAGACTGGGCCACTCTGCTTTTATATATTGACACAGCCTTATAACTATATCTATTTACAATTTCTTGGTTATTGTCAACTGATTTTAAATTTCATATGGGACCATTTAGCTGGGCATATAAAAATATTTTTTTTGTTAAAAAGTAAAATCTTCAGTGTTTAAAATGTACATAGTAATTGTACCCCATCATTAAAGGCTAATATATCCACCAACTTTGTTTAATGCTTTGACAAACTAGGAGTTTGTGAAGCCATTCTCCTCACTAAAATGCCTCGTATTGTTCTGTTATTCTCAAATTACTGTTATTTCTTTGGTTTTCTTTCAGAGGTGTAAAGGGTAAACCTCTGCTCTGATACCTTCTTTTGTCCTCCAGGGCTCATTTTAAAAGTGTCCAAGGAGAACCCCTTGGTTGATACTCCCTGAGCCCCACCCCACCCCAAACCTCTCTGAGCCTCCCAGCCATCAAGTATTGCCTTGGCCTGAAACTCCTCTGTACATGCATAACTGCTCCTTTTCCCCTCAGCAAAGGGAAGGGACATCCTGAGGTCCCTGGGCCACTGTGTGGGCTCCTTTTTCTTGCTTTTCCTCCAGAAGGCTGCTGAGGACAGGGACCCCGAACCGAAGAAGTAGCTTCCCTCTGAGGACATCCATTGAATTAGCCTCCTAGCCTGTACAGTCTTCACCTTACTCACTTTTAGTCCTTAGGGCCTCTCCCAGTGCCTGCCACCGAGAACATACAGGTACTCAGTGTAGTTTGTGGAATAAATGAGAGACTAGCAGTGAAAATGATGCTAATTGATGGGGGTGTTGGGGCAGGCAGTGCCTATAATAGCACATCACCTCAAGATAAGAGATTTGCAAACAACTCCTCAAGTTGCATCCTTTCCCACCCGCTTTGCAGTGAAATTCCACAGAACTCTGTCCTGCATAGCCTGTCGTGTTAGTATATCATTAATAATCATGACCTGTCATACTTTTATCTATCTGAGGTTCAGTCCCAAATTAAATACAAGTGCTTCTTTCCCTTGTCTTCCTTCTGCTCTCCTTCCTTGTCTATTGTATTCTTTTAAAAATTCCATCAGAAAGGTGCACCAATTCATTAAAGCGCAATTATTGTCTTTAAAATGAATCCAGTAAAATGCATGAATTATGTTGCTTTTCAGAGTGCATGTTTCCCATTCATGCCATTCGCTCTTTTAAATCTTATAAAAGAATCTCCGCAGACCATCCTCAGGAGTGATGGGCTATGGATGGTAATGGTTCCAATGTGCTCACTGGTTTTTACTGAGTCCCTCAGATAAACATTACAAACGTTTGAATTCAGTTTGTTTTCCCAAACTCTGGATTTTCTGAGCCTTTTTAAAAATTAGCTGCTGAACATCTCCGCCTAAAGATCACACAGGCGACTCAAACTGAGCAAGAGCTAACCAGCCCTTTTCTGTATTGATGGTCCCATTGACCCATTAGGTGTCTAGAAATTTGGACATAGCCTTAGACTCCCTCCTTACCACCATATCCAGTCAGTTACCAAGCTGGGCTGATTCTACCTCCCAGATATCTCTGACCTGATTGTTTCCTTCATCGCTAATGTTCTCCCGTTTCTGTAGACTCTCACCATGGTTGGCTGTAGGGTATAATGAGTTCATAATCTCCTCCTAAGGGGTCTGCTTGTTTCCATGCCAAACCATAGTCCCCCGAGCCATCATTATCTTTTCTAGGGAAGGGAACCAACATTTATGGAGGGCCTATTCATCCTGAGTGCTGTGTACAAGGATCCCCATTTCACCTCCCTTAAATAACCCCGTAAGGCAGGTGTGTGTTGTTTTCTTTTTACAGATAGAAAAACTGAAATGCAGAACCAGAATGCTGATCTGATTTGGAAACCTTCCCGAGTTCCCCTGATTCAGGCTCATCATTTCACCGACGAAAATCCTTAGCCTTGGCTCCAAGCCAGGCCCTTCCTCACCAGCCCTAGTACCTTTCCTAGCTTGCTGTGTTTTGGGCCCTAAGGCCTTCCTTTCATGTTGGGGCTTGCGCTCAGGGGAGAAGACTAGGTGGTAGAGATCCGCAGTGACAGGCAGAACCTTTCAGTCCTCTCCTTCAGATTGTACCAAGTGGCCAGAGTAAGGAAATCATCATGTGTGTGTGTGTGCGTGCGCGCACACACACACACACACACACACACACACACACACTTTCCCCTCCCCCCCAATGTGATAAGATCAGGGTACTGACCACTGGACTTTGTGTTGTATCCCCTGAAAGCTATGCGTTAGGAGAAAATGTCTTTTTTTGGTAGTTAGCTTAAAAAAAAAATGTTTGTACATTTTGTACCACCTCCCTCAAATAGCAACTAGTAATTATATCCTATTGTTTATCAAGTTCTTTTTGTTCACCAAGTACCAGCCTTTATTATGATGTGCAATTTAAATATATTGATAAGAAATAACCGGTCAA